CTATCTATCTATCTATCTATCTATCTATCTATCTATCTATCTATCATCTATCTATCTATCTATTATCTATCTATCTATCTATCTATCTATCTATCTATCTATCATCTAATCTACCTACTCTATCTCAATCTATCTATTGTACATGCTTTTGTAGAATTTCAGGAACAGCTTTTTATCTGGAAAATATGGCTGCCTGAAAGAGATATGGAATCTAACACAAGCCCCAAAGCTTCTATGCATTACAAAAGCTTGCACTTGGATAATAGAAATATTTAGCCTCAGGTGACTGAGAACACTTACTGTTGGTTGCATAACGTATGGCGGATGAGGCATCCATGAAGTACTCTGGACCTATGCATCAAACAGCATTTATTAGCACAAAGCAATCACAGAGGGAACTTGGTTCTTGTGTTCAGTGGAGTCACACTAGGTCATAAGAAAGTGGAGTCCATCTGACTTTACAACTAATTAGTGCTCAACACTAAGTATAGAAAGGACATTCTTGGACCTGATTAATTTGGTCCCTGAAACATGATAAAATGTAAAGCAAATTCCTGCTTAACTGGAGCTAGCTGCAATGCCTATATGGACCAGGCTGGGCCCTGGAGTGTATATTGAGGATGGTGTTGGAATTTAAAGTATTAGGAGGCCTCAGGGACTTCCTATTTAGAGGTCGACTCCCATGAATATCCAGGCAAATAATAAAAGAGGCAAGAGTTGACTGCTAAAACTTCCTCTTTTTTTTTTGTCATTTGTTCTAACTTTAAATTCTCAAGTGATTCTCCTCTTGGAAATAAGTCCAAGTGGTAAAAGCTAGAGTAAGAATTAAAAAGATCAACCAGAAATTTTGGAGAAGGCTTTGGGATAAACCCAAGTTAAGCAAGTTTGTGACTTTTCTCTCACAGTAATTGGTATGGCAAATAAAAATGAGTATTAGAGCAAGCCAGCGGTTCTGAAATGTATCTTAGTCAAATGAGAAAGTCAGCTTTAAGAGCTGATTGTCACATAGAAAACCCTGAAGATTTTGTTTTCGATATGTTCACACAAGTAAAATTGCCAGTGTACTTCAGATTAAAAAAAAAAAAAAAGGAAGAGGTGGTGAAAGGTGAGAATCAGCAATATAGGAAATTGCTCTAATTCTTTTTTTTGAGAAATGAGAGCTGGGGTTAATTTCCACGTAGGAGCTCTCCCAAGTGAAATCATTTTTCTGCGGATATTTTATTCATGTCACCAAAGTGCTCTACACTGGGGCTCAATGGGTGGTCTTGGCTGAAACAGAGGCCAAGATAAGAAAAAAAAAAAAAAAGGCTAGATAAACAAAATACACATTACAACCAGGCAGGCTTGCAGGAAGAACAAAAACTGAATAGCACCTGCACATAGCCCCGTGGGTCCCAAGGAAAGGCAATTAAATCAGCCATTCTGAGACCCTCTAATGCCATTCACACGAAAGTCTATTTATTCTGTTCACCCACCAACATGTATCAAGAATCTAAGTGCAGAAAAAGAATGAAAATGAACTGCTTTAGGGGGAATCAGTTGAAGAAAAATGTACATAGTCTCAAGTGTGATGCTCTGACAACTGGGACATCCTGAAATGAAGTATGTAGCGGCTGAATAAGGTGACACTTGACTGAATTAGGAGTAGTCAGCAACATTACAGTTTTACCCATTGTAAAACATCCACCCCCACAATCTGCAAAATGTAGGGAATCACATTGCATGCACACACTTGCACGCTCTCTCACTCTTTCTCTTTCTCTCTCCAAAGTTTTTAAAAATGACACTAGATACTCTCTATATGTAACATTTATAGCAATTTCTAATTAGAAGAATTGTTTGAAGAACAATATGAGGTAAAGAGAAGTAGGGAGTGATATCACATATTTGATATTTGATAATTCAAAGAAATAGGATAAGAAGTTTTTTTTTTTTCTTGAGAGAGAGAGAAGTATGACTATTTCAATCGCTTGTGTACATAGAATTAACTAGCTACAACATCTGGCTTAGGACACACATGGAGTCTCAGATTTTCTTGTGATTCAACATGTGGAACCTTTGAGGTCTCTTTTGGCCTCTTTGGAACTGAGAATGAAATTAGAGCAGAAGGTAGAAATAATTTTTACCACTTTGATAATCTTTCTTTTTTCTTGGGAAAAATGATTTTACGTCTATCCACATAGATTTACATGGATACACAGGACAACTGTGAAAAATGAGATGACAATGATAAAATATGCTGATGACAGTACAGGGAATGCTAGGAAGGTGCTTTTAGAAAAGACACACAAGGATATGTGACAACCAAAATAACAAACAACAAACAAAATAATTTCTCAGTGGTATGAAAGCTGTATTAAAGTTGGCTGGAAAATAGTGTAATCATGAAAACTCAGCAGGGAGAATAAAAAGCACGGTGGATTTTATTATTCAGTGAAATAGATGCAAACAGGCCCTTGAAAGAAAGTGTAGGCTAATTGATAACTTGAGTATCATTACATTAGGAGGTGATTAAAGTGTTTGAAAAAAAAAGTTTTTTTAAAAAATTCTACTATGTCCCTTTTGTCTTTATGTAGTCAATTACTGGCAAGAAATATCTTTCCTAAGGTGCAGGTAAATCGGACATACCTGGTATGTGGAGACAGGGGAAGCAGCAATGAATGGCGTGATAGATGTCTGTGGAATCATGCGGTTGGTTGCAATACTGTACGGTGAAGAATAAAATCTGCAAACAGAAAACAAACAAACAAAAAAAGGAGATTCATAAAGCTGCCGCATGCCTGGTTGCTAATCAAATGCTACCAAGCACTTCTGGGAAAGACAGAGTTCCACTCTCATGTTTTCCATCAACTTTTAACAGGAGCATCCAGGAGATTTATAGTATTTGATTCCACTAAGAGAAATAAATCATTCTGAACGGAATGACAATGTTGAGTCATTTTATAATATTGGTTGTACAAAATCTCTTTTATGCCAGGGGAGTATAATAGAATGTTTAACCAAAGGGAGAAAGAAGCCACGGGCACTGTTTTTTTGTTTTGTTTTGTTTTGTTTTGCTTTGTTTTGTTTTGTTTTGTTTTAAGCCACTGCTATTCTAAAGCTCTTTGAAAGAAAGGCAAAATGATAGCACCAAACTTTATAAAAGTGGTTGATATTACAAATATACAAATGGCATCTATCTTTTCATTCAGGAAATAGAATCAGCTCCAGTTTTGTTTTGTTTTGTTTTGTTTTGTTTTAAGCCACTGCCATTCTAAAGCTCTTTGAAAGAAAGGCAAAATGATAGCACCAAACTTTATAAAGGTGGTTGATATTACACATATACAAATGGCATCTATCTTTTCATTCAGGAAATAGAATCAGCTCCAAAGAGTTTTGGAGAACTTGTGCTAGGCGTGACTCCATACCCTCAGGCAGAAACTAAGCTAAATACTTTCTCTATGAAAAGAGAAGAAAGCACACAACTTGTGTCTAGGTGGGGATAGAAATATTTGGAGGATTCAGTCATGCCATTGATGGCGATTCTGTAGTTATGTGTAGTTATGTACTCCTGTAGACTGTGAAAAGCACTGAGTTTTCTAGTCCTCCAGGGCCCTTCATTGAACAATTGTAGAATGATACCGAGCAAAATCGGGGCTTCACAAATCAGAGGAGGATGATCCTTCTATAGTTCTATTAAGGGGCAGCTTCCAGGTACTGAAATCGATGACACACCCATCTTCACTTAGATGATACCCTTGAGTCCACAAGTTACCTAATGCTCAAATTCTTCAGCCTAATTTTAAATTATGCTTCTTCCTTCATGTCTCACTGGTAAGTAAAAGGCTAGAGTGGCCAGCTACAGAACGGACAAAACAAGGTTGCCTACAATGAAGTATTTCACTGATGTGAGGATAGATTGAAAAAATGTGTATTAGGGATAATGGGATTATTATTTCACTTTGCCATACTGTTAGTAAAAGTCAACTACTACTTTTTATTATTATTATTTTTTAATAGTATGACTGATATTGTAGTTTTGGGCACAAAAGCCTCATCACCCCTCAGGAGTCACTGATATCTTGAATAGAGAATCTCATGGGTTACCTTTATAAAGAAGCATTTCACAAGACTCCCATTGAATATAGGACGGCAGGATTTCAAGGTTGCCAGAATTCAAGGAGGAAATTATTTAAGCTTACATTATATAAAAGTCTCCAAGCAAGTGTTGGGGAACTATAGTCTCAAATTTACTTTATCTAGCTCTCAATAAAGATTATAACATCATACTCCTTTGCTGAAAAAATATGTATTATAGCTGAAAAAATTACTCCATTAAACATTACATTCTTACTAGTCATATCCACCAGACCTCTAAATTTATAGTTGTGCAGTTTGAAAAAAGTTATTGACTCTGCACCTATTAGAACAGTCTTTTTTTTTTTTTTTAAATGACAATACTAGTGCTGGCAAGGATTCAGAGAAAGTGCAACTCTCATTCCTTGCTTGTGGAAATGCAGAATGGTACATAGTGGGAAATAGTTTGGCACTTTCTTATAAAGTTAAACATACACATAACATATAACCCAACAATCTCACTGATAGGTATTAACTAAAGATAAATGAAAATGTCTGTTTACACAAAAAAATGTAATGTAAATGTTTATAGCAAGTTTATCGATATTTGCCAAAGACTGGAAACAAGCCAATTATCCACCAACTGAGTCAATAAACCCACTGTGGTACAACCATATGACGGAACACTACTCAGCAATAAAAAGAACTACTAATATATTGAACATGATGACTCTTAAGTGAATTATGCTAATAAATCAGACTTAAGTGAATTATGCTAATAAATCAGACTCAAAAGACTTTATATTTTATAATTCCATTTATATTACAATATTGAAAATGCAAAACTATAAAGACGGAAAATAGATCAGTGGATGCCAAAGTCTGGGGTTGGGGAAAGCAGCTGGCTACAATGACACATGAGGGAATTTGGGGAGATGACTTAATTGTTCTGTATCTTGATTGTTTGGTGGTTACATGACTATGTGCTTGCCAGAACTCATAGAAATATACACTATAAAAAGTGAATATATATTCTACGTATATTATTTCTAATAAACCTGACATTTAAAAAGAAGTCAATTACTATGGAAGAAAACATCCATCCTTCCACTTAAAAAAAATTATTGAGCATTTACACTGTTTATCAAAGATAGGTAAGGCTCTAAAACATTTCTTAAAGTTTCTCTATTTAGCCACTTAAATCATATCTTATGTGTGTATTAATCAACCTAAAACCCTCCAATAGCTTTCATTGCAATGAAGACGAAATTTGAATTCCTTGTATTGGCCAGCATAATCAGGCTACTGACTACTTCTCTAATATTTTCTCCTACTTCTCTCCCCTTAGCCAAGTAGGGTCCAACCATATAGATCTTCCTTTGTCACATGATTCTGCCATTCTCACTCCCATCTTAGGTCACTGAGCTCACAATTCTCTCTATTTAGAATGTTCATTTCCCTAAATCTCTTTGAGGCCACCTCTTGCTCCTTATTAGCTGCAGTCAACTTCCACTCCTTCAGAGAGGTCTACAGCTAAGGTAGGAACCACCATTTCTGTCCTAATTGTTCTCTATTTCTTTCTTCTAATTTATATTTTTTTCATTGTTCTTATCACTATCTGAAGTAGTAATTCAAAAATATATTGATGTATTTTACAGGTTGAATGTTAGTGCCCCTCTAAAATTCCTATGTGGACATCTCAACTCCCAGTGTGACTGTATTGGAGATAAAGCCTTTAATAGAGCAATTAAGGTTAAATGAACTCATGTGGGTGGGGCCTTGATATGATAAGATTAGTATCCTTATAAGAAAATACAGGAGATATACAAATTAAAACCACAATGAGATACCACGTCACACTTGCCAGATTGGCTATCATTAATAAATCAAAAACAACAAATATTGGAGAGAATGTGGAGAAAAGAGAACCTTGGTACACTGTTGATGGGATTGCAAATCTGTACAGCCACTCTGGAAACTAGTTTCGAGGTTCCTCAAAAAATTAAAAATAGGACTATTTTTTGACCCAACAATTGTACTACTGGGTACTTATCCAAAGAAAACCAAAGTTCATAAAGATCTATGCACCCTTATGTTCACAGCAGTGCTACTCACAATAGTCAAGATATAGAAGCAACCTAAGTGGTCATCAACAAATGATTGGATAAAGAAGTTATGGTACATATACACAATGGAATATTACTCAGCTATTAAAAAAATGAAATCTTGCCATTTGCAAGGACATGATGGATCTAGAGGGTATTATGCTGAGTGAAATAAGGCAGACAGAAGAAAATGAATACCATCTGATTTCAATTATATGTGGAATCTAAGGAACAAAAGAAAGGAACAAACTAAATGAAAACAGACTCACAGATACAGAGAATAAACTGATTGCCAGAGGGGAGATGGGTTGAGGACCTGGGTGAAAAAGATGAAAGGATGAAGAAGTACAAATTAGTAGTTACAAAACAGTCATGGGGATTTAGAATATAGCATAGGGTATATAGTCAATATTATTGTAATGGCTTTGTGTAGTGCCAGATAGGGGTGCTAGAGTAATCAGGGCAGGGAAGATTACTTCATGGATTGTATAACTAACTTTTTAAAATTAAAACACACACACAAACAAACAAACAAACAAATAAATAAATAAAATAAGAATTTTCTATCATCAGGAAAAAAAAAAATCAGCCCTTGTCATTAGTTTCATAGAGTTGTTTCAGTTTCCTTCGAATAAGGAACTGTTTAACTGTTGAACTTGTAATACACTAAATAGAATTAGAGTGGTAACTCAAAAGAATTAAAGTTGTTTTCTTACTTCAAGGATCATTAAGAGAAGGTTTTCCAGAAATGCCTTCCCAGTTTACTTCTAGTTTAAACTTGTCTTATACTGTTTGTTCAAATTATTAGAGATTCCTAAATATAAAAGAAAAAAAATACAGCTTGCTCTCTTTCTCTCCACACATATATGTGGAGGAGAGGGTATGTATGGGCATAGTGAGAAGGCAGCTGTCTACAAGCCAGGAATTGAGTCCTCATCAGAAACCAAATCAGCTAGACCTTGATTTTGGTTCTGGCCTCCAGAACTGTGAAAAAATAAATTTCTGTTGTTTAAAGCCACCCAATCAATGCTATTTTGTTATGGCAGCCAACTTGACTCATATAATATATTTATTGACTCTTTTTCCCTCTAGACCATCAGCTTCAATAATGTTGAGGACACATTGGCTTTGTTGCCTAGGACAGAGCCTGAGACATAGTAGATACTTAGTAACTATAGGTTGAATGAATGAGTAAATAAATGCAGAGAAGCTGAGGGAAATAAGCAGTGACTACAGTACAGAATGGCCAATGTCAAGGTGTTGGGAACATAGAAGTTGCATCTCTGATCAGTAGGAACCTAAGGAGAGAGAACCCAGAGAACATAGGCCGACATTACATATTTATAAATGCTCAGTGGAAGCTTAACTAACACGTGCTTTCTAAGCATGCAAAGGTATTAGTAACTAGGGAAAACAGTCCTTTTCTACAAAAATCATGGTTTGTATTTAAAAATCCCTTTAGGTTTTATCTTTGACAAATCTTACTTATGAGGCAGTAAGCAGAAAGTCTTATTTGGGGCTCATAATGACATGATAAGCACTCATGACCACTCCACAAACGGTC